TGGTATTGGCTACCGGTCGCTCGAGATGCGATGCAATCGGATCCAGCCTCAGTCTCTCCTCCTCTCCAGCTGATCCTGGTTTTCGAAATTCGTTCCAAACACTTTCTCCACAGACGTGGGGACAATGATGAAGTCTATGAAAAATGAAAAGGTGTAGTTCTGAAGTTAGAAATTGAAGTTGAAAAGTCCACAAAGTGTGAGGAGTACGTGCTGAATTCGCCCTATAAATATTTCTTTGAAAACAGTTGATGTGTCTGAAAACTTCGAAAAGCATGCATCGTTGAAAGTAATCGTTATTATGATTAGAAATTGAACTCTATAAGTATTCACGTCAACTAGTTTTGAGCAGTGAAAGTCAAGAGGGTCTAGAGAGTAACTCGTTATGGTGGAATTTATGAAAGTTGCGCAGTTGTCAGCTAGATTCTCCATACAATTGCGAGCAGAACAATATATGGATGTAGGGGATTTCGTTGAGTAGGAGCTGAGATATGCCATCAGAGCCAAATGCCCCGTCGGCTCTGGTCGTTCTCTGCCGCCCCTCAAAATTGCACACTCTCTACGCAACCAGACATTCAACACATGTCTTCCACGGGGCATTTGGCTCTGGTGCCCCTTTCTTTGTTATTTGCAAATTAATGTAAGCAAATCGTATACCATTATGAAGGCCTTGACGTACACTTGAACAGACAATTGCGCAACTTTCAATTTTTTGGTCTGTGTGAAAGAAATAAGAAGAACCGTGATTTTTGTTTTCCTCAATTTTTAACTCAAATTGAAGTTTTAAATTCCGTTTTTCCTCTCATTCGACAGGAAATCTTATTCACAATTTAGCTGACCATTGCGCAACTTTCAGTTTTGAGTATTCAGCGAATTACTTTAAAGGGCGCACCAAAAAACCCGTTTTTTTTAAACGACTTTCTGAAGATTTCCTGCAGCTAGACTATCTCAACCTTGAGATCATTTCGTACGCAATATTGCGCTGTAGAACGTAGACAAGTGCGCAACTTTCAGAAATCATGAATTTGAGGGAAAATTTCAAAGGAAACATGCGAAAATGACTTTTCTTTTAAAGTCGTTTTTTATTCTAAATTAAGAAGAACGATTCTACTTTTACTTTCATTCTCAGCGCTTAATTTTATAGTTTGAGGCCACTACCATGCATCTCACGTGACCACTCTCGTAATCCCATAAATCTCTTTGTTTTTCTCCGCGTTTCTCCCGTTTTCCGCCCTTGGTTGTTACCAAAAAGAAAAATGTGTGCAATTCTAGCGCGAAAGTTCAAAATTCATATGACTGCTCAAGGATGTAAGAGTGTAAAACACGTTGAAACACGTTGAATCATGTCAATATTGTTCACAATTTCACACTTTTATGTAAAAAGACGACTCCAGCTCGACAATTTTTTGGAGGTATGTGCGCGGAAAGCAAGGGGGACGAAGAAAATGATTGGAGAATGTGTCATTTTTGCAACATTTTTATTGACTACTTTAAAAAAAGCTTCTGTTTGTTTTTTTGAATCAAAAACATTTCCTTATTTTTTCTTCAGCTACCATGGCATATCAAAAACCACCATCACTTTTTGCAAAGGTCCTTAGTTAAAATCACTATCACTTTTGTTTTCTTATCTCTGGACTATCGAACCTATGGTGAGAAGGTAGTCGATCTCTGCATGAGTCGTACGGTTGGATGATTCCCATGTCCACCACCGGTATTCCTTCTTCATGAATGGAAATACCATGAAAAGTCGTGCGGCAGATAAAAGCCCAACAAGACGGTTACCATTCTCATTTCGGAGCCCTGAACCAAATCTACCGATCCTGTGCTTCCCTTCTTCTGTCATCCCGATTTTCGCATCGAAGTCACCCACGACGAACTTATAGAAGAACTTCCTTGCGGATAACTTCCTCCAAATCCTCATAAAAAGCACCAAGTTTGGAATCATCTGCTGCTAATGTTGGAGAATAGCACT